GGGCCCCAGCATCCAACACTATTATAAGCCGTATACACCGCTGGATTCATAGCTGCAGCGCTGCACATGCGCGAGAAAAAACGTCCCGTCTAGCAACACTGCTTCGGAGCCATAACGCATCTTACTTACATAGTCTGTGATAGTCTGGCAGCTGGCAATCGTCTGGTAGACATGTGGATAGAAGTTATTACCAATAGCATATGTCGACAAAAATTGTTTATTTAATACGAAAAAACAGACCAACGATATAATGAATACACGAAAAAGAAATAATAGATACATTTCGAATCAATATAACAATCATAAAAGACGCAAACAATCTGTATTAGAAATTGGTATGACAGGATTTTTATGCACATGCAACTTTCATGAAAGAGGCTGTATCACAGATGCCTATAAACTGCTCAATTTATTTGCTAATGAGGAATCTACATCAGAGATAAATAAGGTATTTGAATTACAAGTGATAATAACTGAAAAATATCACATTTAGAAACTTGTTAATATTATTGTAATTGTTTGTATATTAAACTTTTATTTTAACTTTTAAGGAATTTGAACCATCAAACACAACAAATATACTCGATAAGAAAGAGATTAATAAATCTGTAGAAAACATTGAGAAAGATGAAGACATTTTAACTACTTTGGAAAGAGAAATTAATGAACTTAGAACAGAGCAAGAAATGCCATTATCTGCTAGAAAATTTCAAGTATATTTAGTATTATACTTATATTGTCCTTAACATTGCATCAATAGAGAATATTTTTCTATCAAAAAACACTATATTGATATTTTTCTGTTATAGGTAGTAGATACAGGTGTTAAAAATATGATTTTTATATCAAGTACTTTTTCAAATCCATTAGAGTTGGTCACCAAAATTGTTACTAAGTTAGATGCAACTAAAGAACAATATACTAGATATTTATTAAGATTGCTTCCAATTGAAGTTACATGCAAAGCATATATGGATAACATAAGAATAAAAGCAAACACATTATTTGAGAAATACTTTGCCCAAGAACCTAAAACATTTAGCATTATATTTAAGTAAGTTAATAGATTGTATCTTATACAAAAATCAGCAGTCCTTGCACTTTACTTGTAAACTAATAATGTTTTAGTCGCCGCAGTAATAATAATATTAAAAGGGAGGAAATCATTAAAGATTTAGCGGAAATAATTTTGCGAAAAAATCCGGGTAACAAAGCAGATTTAAAAAATCCAGAAATAGCTGTGATTGTTGAAGTAATTCGTGGAATTTGCTTACTTTCTATTGCTCCTAATTATTATAAGTTTAAAAAATATAATCTTCTTGAAATATGCCGCAGTACAAAAAATAAGGTAAGAGTATTTTTATAAAAGTTATTCAAGTTTCTTTCATACGTATAAAGATTTATTATTAGCAGTTTTATACGTAGTGTTATATATCTCTAATATATTCAAAATAATTAAAATATTTAAAAATTTTTTAGATAATTTCCAATATAGAAATGACAGAAACAACAAGTGAAGAAAATAAAAATGATTCAGATACAATTATATTGAATTCATGTGAAATTGAGGAATCTATCAATGAGGATGAAAGTTTGGATACACAAATTGAAGAGAAAAATGATAACTAGGCATGCTTAAAATAGATTTGATATACATAATATGTTACTATATTATATTTTATTAAAATATAAATTATTTATGAATATAAAAATCACATCTGTGTGTGAAAAAATTTTTGTATATTTTTCTTCATGCATTTTACCCTTATAATTAGTAATTATAAATATAATTTACAAAAAATTATTTTAATATTTTTTAACATAAAATTATTGTGTAATTTTTGAGAACATAAAAGTGTATTATAAAAATATCTTAAATATGTAAATAACAAAAATATTAAAAGATTATATCTACAGACATATTGTAGCTATATTCATATACTTTAATATTAAAAACACCCCAACAATAGGGTCCCATGGTGTAATGGTTAGCACTCTGGACTCTGAATCCAGCGATCCGAGTTCAAATCTCGGTGGGACCTATACATATTCTTTTACACCATAAACAAAGTATTTTATCAATAACTGTTGCATAATTTCTTTTTTAAATGTTAGATAGACTTTTGTGTACTTAAATATACATTACAATTTTATCCGATAAATATTAAGTTTCACAAATGTTAATAAAACGTAAGATTGCACGTAAAATTGAGGCGACTCAAGACACATATCATAATTCAGAATTGTATTTAATATATAGCGCATAATAAATTTGTTAAAATCCACATGAAAATTAGCACAATGTGTCGTAGATTTTATTTTACAATTAGATATATTTAAATAGGTATAGCAATAAACTAAAGAGAAAAAAAGGAATAAAAAGAAAGGCTTGCGAGTTGAGAGATGGCGTTACTGTTCAACTTATTTACTTCACTCATACGTATTATACACGAAGTAAAAGTAAGGAGACGTAACTAGATAGCGTATAGAGAAAAAAGTTGGTCACGAAAAATGTTCCACGAAGGAGGAAATTTGCCGAATGGAATAACTTGCAACATTTCGTCGCCATCTTAAATCTGTTCTTTTTTAGCTGTACCATGAGGAACATGAACTGAACTGACTGCACTAAGAGCAAGAGCAAGTAAAAAGCTTACTTTGGGCGGTATTCATAGTCCCTTCTTATATTCAAAATCGTCTTAAGCACGGACTTATATTCGCTCTCTTCGTCAAACATAGATTGTGTCTGACGAAGAGAGCGAATATAAGTTCGTGCTTAAGACGATCTTGAATATAAGAACGGACTATGAATACCGGCCTTTGTGCTTGTGAAATATTTGTATGCAACGTGGTATGCAAATAATTTTAATTAAACATTTATATAAGGTATATATTTCAAGATTATAAATTTTAAAGTAAATGTAGTTTAACATTTAACATTTTATTTTTAATTGTTTTGCAGAAAATTAGAATTTATTGTAGTATTAACTTTTAATTTTTATAACCTAAAATTGTTGCATGTTAAATCAATTAATATTTCGCTATAAGCAATATCTTTTAATCTATCTATCTATTTATCTATCTATTAATAAATCAGCATAGATATATTTTCTAAGTATGTCCAAATATTAATATAAATAATTTTTAGCAATATATTAATATTTTCATTTTTTATTTATAAGTATAATTTAACTGTCATTTTATTTTTAAATATTTTAATTTTTATTATAGATATAATAAATTCTGAAGTAATGGCCTGTTGTGTCAAAGGTTGCAATTCAAGGGGAGATAAAAAGGATCAGAAAAAAGAAGTTTATATTCTTTATATTCTTTATGTTCTTTAAAAATTTGTAACATTTTTTTATTTTTTAAAAATTTATTTGTTTATTTCAATTTCATACTTACGTTCCATGCTTTTCTAATCCTTATAACCTTTTCTCTCACTGTGGTCTCATCTGTCATTGACAATTTAAAGATGGCGACGAAATGTTGCAAGTTATTCCACTCGGCAAACCTCCTCCTTCACGGAACATTTTTCGTGACCACTTTCAATCTATGTAGTTACGTCTCCTTACTTTTACTTCGTGGTATTATACTGTGGGCTTGTTCGTTTTAGCTGCACTGGGGCAGCTCTGGGTCTGCTCTAAACAAGATAATACAGGACAAACTATTTATCTGTCCTGTATTATCCTGTGTAGAGCAGACCCAGAGCAGCCCCAGTGTAGCTAAAACCATGATGTAAGAAGGTAGGTGTACCATTGCGCATAATGGCAGCCGTATGACGTCAGCATGATAGGACAGCCAATCAAACGTGGTCCAAAATGCATCCGCGAAATTCTAATATAGAATTATCATATTATTAAAATGTAATTAAAATTTATAAAAATATCTTATAAAAATAATAAATTTGCAATATAAAATACAGTAGCAATAAATGACAATTACCCACAATAATAAATAATATCAATTAATAAATAATTATATAGAAATTAAGTGTTCCCAACACAAATGTGTGAATACATATATTTAATATCTCTTATGATATCTCGTATGATCAGTACGACTTATACAATTCTTTACACAACACGTTGGCATAGTTTTTAAATATCTTTTAATATTATTATATTTAATAACCTTCGGTGTCAACCGTGTCAACATATTTTGGCAGCCATATTACTTTTTAGCATTTTGGACCAATTCCTGATTGGTCGAAGAGCGATCATTACTTTGGACGACTGCGCATTCACGGCAATGGTACACCTATCTTCTTACATCATGGCTAAAACGAACAAGCCCTGTGTATGTGTGTACTTTTGTTTAGCTGTACAAGATCGAGAGCAATTGAGAGTTATTACGCTGCTGTTACATACTGGTGTTTATCTTCGGTATTTTGTCAAAAGATCTCGGTAGCAAAAGCGATATTTGTAGCAGTAAATGTTTCACTGTGTTCCACGTTCAAGATGGATCAAAGGGATCGTGAAAAGATAGATAAGTGCTGTGAAGCCGTTGTATCTAAAATTGATATGACAAAACTCATGCCAAACTTGCTGAAATATAAAGTTTACAACAGAGATGATGTAAATATTCCACGATGGAATGTGAGTTTTATCTATTCATTATTGTAATGTTCAATTGTATGCATGTAACAAACAGGAAGCTCCAATTTCACCAACCATTGTGCGTCATCAATTTCTCTAATATCTTTTTCATGTTTCCTTTTTTTATTTATTGAAATATTTATGTAAAAATAATCTATAATATATATTTTTGTTTTTTTTTAACATAAAATTATAAAACAAGGATACTAATGAAATCACCCCAAACCATTCACCCTAACCAATTTTGACATTTTAGAAATATCTTAACAATGAGTCATCCTACAGCTATGACTTATAAACTATGTTTATGAGTTATGTATTGTAGATTAAATAGAAATGGAAACTCAATATATAAAGAAATGAAACACTTTTTTGAAATATAATATACTAAAATTATAATAATTATCAATTAATTATATGTAATTACAGAAGAATATTACGGCACAAGAAACAGTCAAAGATATATATCTAACAATTAAAACTCGAGGACCAAATGCATTTAAAAATTTAATTCTTAGTCTAAGACAGTCTGGTCATGGAATTTTAGCTGATGTATTAGAGGGAAAGGATAGCAAAAATGATAGTACAAGGTATTTTTTTGTAACAATTTATTATTGATTTATCTTTAATCTTAAGAATCAAAATGCTAACACTATGAAATAATATTAAGTGTTAAATATTATTTAATATTTAAATTTAATATTAAATATTATTTTTTAGCTTAAGGCAGACCAACCATGAAGCTGCAGCTAGTTCATTGGAAGGGAAAAACAATAATTTAAGGTATTAGGTTTATTATGACTTATTAAGTTTGTAAATGTTGAAAAAAATGTTTATGTTTCATTGACATGTTCTTTGGACAAAATAACTTTAAAATCAACATTTTTAATTTCAGACAAGAGGATCATTTTGTGAACCATTCCATTTCTGATGTATTTGTGATAAATCAGTCTGATGAACCCTTAAAAATCAAATTAATCAAAGCTACAGAATTTTTGGATCGTGAATATGACAATGTTGAGCGATATCCCATGCGAAGTAAACCTCGTGGAATAATTTTGATAATCACGAATATTTATTACAACTCATCAGACGAGAAACCAAGACTTTCAGCAAAACATGATGAAGATAACTTGAAAGAGTTGTTTGAAAAAATGGGTTTTGTTGTTGTTACCAGGCAAAATCTGACTGGACAAGTATGTAAATGATAACATGCCCATTTAACATTAGTCATTTTGTATCATATATTTATATTTTGATACATTATCTTTTCTCTAATTTTATATTAATATTATAAGTTAATTTAAAAATTATGATTTTTTTTCTACTAGGAAATAAAAAACACAGTCAAAACATTTTCAAAGAGAGATGATTTAGAAAAGGTTGATTCATGTTTTGTAATTATTACAAGTCATGGCACAGAAGACAAGGAAAATAATACGGAAATCCAGGGAACAGATTACAATGCAAGTGGGCAAGCAAATTATGAAAAAATATTGTGTACAGATGTCTGTGATTACTTTACAGTAGAAGCTTGTCCGCAACTTGCGAGAAAACCAAAAATATTTATTTTTCAACTTTGTAGGTACGAAAAATATAATTTTATCGTTAACATTATCTCTTTATTTTTTATCTCGAACTTGAAGTCAAGGGTAATTATGAACGCCATTTTATTAATACATGCATTTATTTTTCCCTATTCTTTCTCTAAATAGAGGAAAGAGAATACAGAAAGCTGTAGCTTACTCTAGAATCGCTACAGATACATGTGCTTTTTCAAATGGGAAAACAGATGAATCCAATATCGATATACCTCGTATTCAAACTACAAGAAATTATTCAGATATGCTTATAGTTCAATCTACTTTGCCTGGATATGTGGCTCATCGAGACACTGTAACTGGCAGTTGGTTCATACAAATTCTTTGCAAAGTATTCATGAACCACGCTCATAAAAATCACGTTCAAGATTTATTTAGTATGGTAAATATGATAAGTTACTAAATATAAAATAATCACAATAGCTGTACAATGATCAATTAATGCAATTTGCAGATTGATGCAGAATTGGATCGTCTCAGAACAATGCACAACGAGTGCCAGACATCATGTGTAGAGTCAAAGGGATTTAATAAGCATTGTTATCTCAACCCTGGTCTTTTCGAGAAATCGTGACAACGTTCTAAAAAGAGAAAATTATTATGTAAACGATAGTACGCAATATTTTCATACTGGTTGACTACGAGTGTCTTGATGCCCGATTTTGACTTTCAGTGCCATTATAGAATTTTTCTACTGTAAACGATTTGTAAACAATTTGTAAACGATTACAAATTTTAGCACATAAATTTTTATATACATTTTAAAAAAGTTAATCATGTCCTTATCCGTTCTTTTGTTCCTTGATCTCACTATGAACATGAATGCTTGATTTGCATTTGTTTATTGAAAAAAGATATATATCTATTTTTTTTTTTTCCAATAGATGCACTTTAAGCATTACTTATATTGCTAGCAAGATGACCATATATATACATATTGCTTGCAGAGAATACTTTGTGGAAGGACATAGTTTATTATTCTTATACTATGCAAATTTAAAGGGATTTATTCCGAATATCGAGTAACGTTGTATTTTATGCAATCTTTTGTGCTACTATATTCAGGTCTTATCGCGACAATGCCTAAACATTCAAAGGAAGACGCGAGTACTGTTTAAATGTATACTTTTTAATAGCTTGTGTTCCAATCTTCGTACAGATATAATTATAAACAATCCACTTAACTATACTAAATTTAATTTGATCACTTCTTTACTCTTTTTATAAGTGCTCTAATTATACAATTGGCAAAATTACATGCAAGCTTGTCTACACTGCATAACTTTGTAACGAAATCTATGCAGCAAAACCTTCATAAGTATATTATGCTCGTAAAATTTTATGAAGCAAATGCTGGCGAAATTCGGGAAATCAAATAAAATAACGATTCCGAAGGACTTGTAGGACCTTTCTAAAAAATTGCTGTTTTTTTTCATCTTAAGATTAACTGATATTTTTTGTACGTATTAATGACAAAAGTTAGCTACATAGACTTAAATATATGAATAAGTTAAATGTATTCTACATAATACTATTTCGAAGAGATTTTAAGTGTAGATATAATCATAGCTTTATTCATAGTGCCATAAAACTAATAATGAACTAATGTTAAGGCAATTGAGTCATGTCGATGAAAGATGAGTTTTTATTTTATTATGTTATTATATTCCCCATTTATGTTTGTATCGAGTTATTCTGCACATAGATTGTACAATAGCGCATTATACGATTATGCCTAATACAAGGACTGCGCGTTGGAGGAACGTGGCCGTTTGATCTTTTCCAAGTTCTTGATCACGAGATCGTGCAGTGAACAGTAGCGATTACGGACTTCGCACATGACGAGCCATAAACTCACATACTCCTTCTCATCTAGTTCTTGAATCGCTCTTCTATAATCGATGATGTGTGGATATTTTGCAACTTTACTAACAATCTTCCCTCTGGAGATAAAATACCTGTGGATATCAAGGATAAAGTAAAAAATGACTTCTCTTGTTACGTTGACTAACATTACTCTAAGAACATTGTAAAGCAGTAATATTTATTAATCGCAGTAATATTTATATGCCGAGAGAGAGATTATATATATTTTTTTAATACCTAGAAATTTGATCAAAGAATGCAGCAGCTTCGCTTTCAACTGATTGTATCTCTGATAATGTATCTTCTTGTATGGATACACCAAAGTTGTTTCCATCCTCAATTTTTGGAATCAGGAAAGAAATCCACATTTTTAACTAAAGAATTAATAATATCATTAATGATAATTGAATTATTTATTTTAAAAATAATATCAACTTCTGCAGAGTTCATACTTACTAAATTGGAATCCTCCAAAAGTTGTCTAATATAAGGTTTGACTATGTGAATCAAATCGCTTAATTTTTTATTGGAAGGTACAGGACCATTTGGAAGTACCATAACTTTGGTTCCACTGGTCTCTTCTCCATTATTGTCGAATTTGAGCTTTTTTGTAGCAGGACCATCTTCGGAATGATTAAGAATTATGGGGTCTGGAATGGGTACATTTAACTCTTGATGTACATCCGACAATTTTCGATTACAGAATCCAGGTGTTTCCAGCAATTCATTTAGTTTAACTATCTTCTCTGGAAATCCTTTTACCAACAATTCTTCCGCCTGAATATAAACATATGGACAATATGTGTCATAAACTATAATTTTTACATAAATACACACACACACACATACTGACGCGCACGCATACACATATTACTAAGTATGGCTTATTAATTATAAAAGATTGCAGTTTTATTAATCATAGAAAAAACTGAAAATTATGTACTATAAAATATTACAAAAATTATGAACATTTAAGAGAGATAAATAAATAAAAAAAAGAGAGCAAGAACAAATTACCTTAGTTTTTAGAGAATCCTTGTAATCTTGAACCTGTAAGATAAACTCAAAACATACATCACTTTAATACGATATAATTGCATATAAGGAACAAGGAACTTTAAATTAAGATGCAATAATGTATATATATATATATATATATATATATAGATGTCATAAAAGTCAGCAAAAAATGTTTTTATATGATTATTAAAACTTTGTTGATATTATATATACATATATTGATATATTGATATTACAAAATGCCAACCATGTTTATTTCAACTACCTCATTTTCCATGTAACCATCTGGTAACACATTACTTGATTCATTACTTAGATTAATAGAAAGTGTTGAGAACATTTACATAAAAGCAATAAAATAATACACAGGAGAGTTATCTAAAGTAATTATGACAATTTATAAGCAAGAATTTAGTTCTGCAAAGTTTAACTTGTATTTTTATACAGAATACAATTTTAAGAGGTTATGACAGATTATTCAATTGTTTGCCATGTCATGTTAGGATAAAAACTTATATCTACATAATTAATATATAAATTTTGCTATTAAAGGGAAAAATAAAACATGTGTTATTTTCTACATTAATATCAAATTATTGCATGTTTATTTGCAAAATTAATAATAAAGAAATAATTTCTATGTATTATTTAATAAAATTTATTTAATAATAAAAACTTAATAACAACATAGAATACAGTTTAAAATATGTCAAACTACATATTGCTATTATCAATTGTATTGCACATTTCATACAATAAAATTAATATAACTATCTCTTCGAGTTAATTTTATACAAGCAAATGTATAGGAGAGAATTCATAAAATTAAAGAAATCTAACTACATAATATTAAATTTGATGTGTTTGATTATTTCTTATAATACAAAATTATTAGATAATTTAATTGTTATCTTTTTATGCTTATTATAAAATAAGAAAACTGAATTTAGCACATCATTTAAGAGTTACATATTGTCATACACATATGCAAAGAATTACTGCAATCTATGATTATTTATAATAATTCACATAAAAGGTAAAGAAAAAGATGTTAATATAATTGAAACTAACAATATTAACATCATGCTGCTTTACAATAATATTTGCGAAGAAAAATCTGCCTTTTGTCAAACATGCTTGTTAAAAGCAGTAATTAACCACTAGTTTTAGAGAATTATTTAGTTTTAAGAGAATAATTATTCACCTGATAATTGCTAGTTAGAATTATTATCAAAATAAGATCTTTTGTATAAAAAGCAAAGAAAAAGGTGCTACGCAAAGAATGGAGTAAAAATGAAGAGGTTAAATCAGTGTTTGGCCTTAGAATGGTTTTTTTTCGTAGCATCTGATGTTCATAGCACGTAAAGCTTATATAATAGAGAAGAGGACAATAGAAGTCGAAAAGAATTGGACTGGACATATAGCAAATAGATAACAATAATTTAGTAATGGTACGACGGAAGGATGCGACACAAACAGTACTGTGTCGCGTAAATACCGGTGGATAACCTAATCGATTGTCGTTATTGCCAACCCATCAAACTCGGCTGCTCGATCGTCCTTTCGTACTGGTAAAGTAACATCAGCAATGCGAGAAAAAACCTTGATTCTTTACCTTTTCTACCGTAGCATCCTCCATTATATGTTCCTTAGGAAAAAACTTTCTAAACTATAGTCACTGTGTATCCCTTTGTTGAAACGTGCAACTTCAAACAGGAAGTCGGGCTACCATCGTGTTTCTGTACTACCGCGTCGTCAAACGAAGATCTCGATTTTCCGAAGATTTATTTGTTTCAGTTGCAATTTTTTCAAATGTTCCACATTAAAATCAAATAAATGTATATTTATGTTTTAGACAGAAAAAGAAATCAAATGTAACTGAAACAGACAGATTTGATGTTGGGTTGAGGACGCGCGTCGCGCATGATCACAAGTCCATCGATCGATTTTTCAAACATGAATCACGAGGTGGAAAATATATTATTATCGATTGCTAAAAGAGTTTATGCAAATTTAAACGTTTACACATTATAATTTTAAAAAATCTGAAACTAAATCTAAATATTTAAAATGTATAAAAGAAACGTTGTTTATTCAAGGCTACGGATGCACTATCACGTCTAGATAGTTTTTTATGGTATCAATTTTTAAATTAATCAAATTTCCAAAAATTCAATGTCCAAATAAACCTTTTGATGATTTTGAATCATTCATATTTAAATGCATACATTCAAAGATTTAAATATCTAATTATTTCAAACTACAAAGATACAAAAATTTTAACTGTTAAGTATTCGTATAGTGTATCTCTATTTTAACACATTTGACCTATTAAGCCTTTTTCGAACAAGTGTATATTTGATTGCCTCAGGACATGTAAATGAGTAAATGGATAATTATTTTATTTTTATATTTCATGATTTTCAACATTATGACAATTTTCTTCACTCTTGAAGAATATTTAAGAAAAATAATTTTAAAAACACGGAATTGAGAAGGCTTGTTAATTAGATTTTAAGCGAATTAATTATTTAGTTTCTTTTTTTTTTTTTTAAATAATTTCTCTACTATTAAAAAAAGCAATTCTATACGAACTTATCGGTAAATGAGCACTTTTTGTCGCGACACTTCCGCGTCGTCCATGTTAATTACGAGAAAAACACATCGATAGTGTTTGAGAGTAACTAATTATTAATGATTATAATAATTGCGATAGATTTTTTCTTGTATAAATACATATTAAATAGGGCTAGGTGAGTTTCTTGGCTTTCTGGTAAAGTGTATCAACAACTTTTCCCATGCTATGTATCGTGTCTAATGCGATTTCGTAAGTCTTGTCACGAGGTGTATCTTCAAAAACAATTAAAACACCCTCTCCTTGGTCGAGAACTCCTCGCAGCTTTTTATCCAGAATCATCTGCGAAAGTTTCTTTTCTACTTGCGCCAACGGTAGAGATATGCACGAAGCAATATGACTCACCTGTAAAAACATTAAAGTGTAAAAGAATTATTTCAATGAATATAATTGTTTCAGATATTCTCAGATTTTTCAATAATTGAATATGGAACTTTGCTTGATCATTATTTGTTACAATTGTTAATTTTTTAGAAAATTACTCGATTCAGATTATTTAAGTTTTCATCCAAAATATAATTTATTTATATACTTATTATATATTATTATAGCTTTATTTTTGACAGATCCGTAATTAGATCACTTTTTTATATTTTTACTTAGAATTAGTTAAATAATTTATAGCTAAAAAGAAATGTAAGAGAATTCTAGAATATTCAATGTATTCATATATAAATACCTGAACTCGTGAGTAAGGTTCAACTAAACGACATAAATTTTGCTCCAACATAGCATCATAGAGAGAACCAAGGTGTGCGCGCACGATCACATCGTCTTCCAATTCTTGTCGGTATTGTTTAACTGCCTTCTGGAAATCCGCTAGTGATCGTCGGTGGCTAGCTTCGGCTACTGCACGCATCGCATCTAAATCTAGTCCTGCATATTTCACTGCTAGTTTACCTGACATGATAGCCTGAACGTCTTCCGGCGTACGCAACATAATTTTGGACAGTAACATATACTTGAGCGCCGTTAATGCTTTAGGACTTTCAACACTGTCATACCTAAAAATAAGAATAGTACAGTGTTATAAAATATAGAAATGTACGAATTATGAAATATTTGAATACAATACCCTTCAAATGCTTCGTAAAAATAAGAGTAAGCAGTCTTGAAGTCTCGTTCATCTGCGGCATGCAATATTCCTGATTGTAGATCTAGAGCAGCTTGCATTTTAGGTGGACAGTAAATTGCGTTGGCAGTTGTTCTGGCACTGGTGAGTGCAGCTCTAGCTTTTGCTAAATTACTCAACGCGTGATATGTTTTGCTCTCTAATAATTGAACTTCTACTAACAGTTGTTTATCATCCAATTTTTTGAGTTCTTTAAGAAGAGCAGAGCCCAATAGCAGCGCTTCGCTAAACATTCCCGTGTCAAAGTAGAGAGCTATTAAGCGAGCTTCTAATGATTGCCTTAAAAATGTTCTGCGTTCTTCCTTTGCCCATTCTATGCATTCTTTACACAATTGCACCTAAATACACATATGTATATAAATACATTTTACATTTTGTGATTTCGAAAAGACAATCACAATATAAATATTAATAGATAACAAATATACTATTTTATAGAAGTTACCTTCTTTTCTCTATATTTATTCAATTGAGTATATTTGAAAACTTCATGTGTAAACATAATTATAATTTAGTTGACATTTTGAAGTAAAATTGTCATATGATATAACCTATAATTGATCCTATATTGTGTCTAACTCTATATTTTTCCTCACGTATGAAAAAAAATTCTTTTACCTCGATACCAATACCAGCTTCCAGATCCAAGAAGAAATCTACTAAAGATCGCACAAGCTTGGCGGCCTTTGCTTTACTAATGAGACTGAGAAACGGTCTAGTAGCTTTAATCAGCTCAGCCAATTCCTTAGCCTTGCCCTCCTTCTTGTAGAGCTCTCCCAGATGCAGAATACCCTGCTCCTTGACGCGGATGTTGTCCTCATCGTCATCGGCAACACCGATACTCGGGTCCGAGACAATCTCGTTTAACAGCGAGATACCCTCGCTGCGATTTGTCATCGAAACTGCCTGAGCTCGCTCAAACAACATCGCACCGGCCATCTCGGATGATTAGCCGCTTCCTCGCAGGAGCGTTAATCCTCAAAAATATATGTTATCACTTTCCTACCGTTACCGTTGACGCGGCTGCAAAAAGGAATATGTCGCGATACAAATATGTCGAGTACACGGAAGAAACGTGGCTGTAAGCGGGAATCTGCACAGCCGTGTACGCTACGCGAGTACAATCTCACGCTTGAACAATCTCACTCTTCCGTGCGAGTATGTGCACGCACACTCGTGCTCGGTCTTCAATTGTGCTTTGTAGCTTGTCACTCCTCACCGCGCTCGTACGATCTCTGAGGCTGCAAAACTCGTGTCATGCTGCTACGTGAGTCAAATGAGCCACTATTAACGCAGCATATTACACAGTAACGCAACTCCCTTTCAACACTTTTGATGTTTGTACCGAAAACGAAGTGTGCATGCGTGAAATAAATAAGTTGCCTAGTAACGTCATCTTCAATCACTAAACTGATGTGAGCAGCGTATGTTCAATCTTCCCTTTATCAAAGGGTGTGTGAACATAGCATTAGCCGATCTCGATAAATGTATATACTTTATGCCCCAAAATCGGGCAATGAAAAATAAACATGAAAAGTCTAATGTTTTTGTTATAATCAGGTAGAAAAAAAATGCAATTCTACAAGCTTTATTTATGTCAAATTTTATTTAATAAAATTTAAGAATTTTTTCACGAAACTTGATAATACATAGCATAAATTTTAATAAAAATATATATATAATATACTGTAAATAATTATGTGACCATTAAATGTTCTCTCTCTTCAGTCCTCTTCTTTATTGATTTCGTTATGTGCTAACAAAAATGAAGAATTTTTCAGTATCAATACTTGTAAATTGCAGAGTGTTGCTTCCAATCTGAAATACACATATAAATATGTACTATTAAATTCATAAATATATAAACTAAATTAAAAAAAAAGTTTTTGTAACATACTTCTTTTGTAGATTTTCTATTTCATTGTATGTTTCAGTAAAATTTTTCAATTCAGTATTAATAGTGCAATATGTTTTATCTTTTGATCCAATTAGACTTGTAATGTCTTTCAAAATATTTGAACACTTTACTAATAATATTTGAATATCTTTCCACTCATCCTGTGTTTTAGGAAGTACTATATCATTACACCGCAATACATCCAGAGGTTCCAAGAGAGATTCCAATTTGGATAACATATTTTTTACCATCTTGAATGTTCCATTCTCTGTAAAAATATGAATGTAAATATAAATGTTAATATAATTGCAAATAATTTCATTTTGATTCTAGTTTAAATCTTACTGGTACACTTTTCTACTGCAACTAGTTGCTCATCTATCTCTTTTTGTACTAATTTCAAGTTTACTATATCATGTTCCCTTGTTTTGATTTTGATCAACTTGTTTGTGTCTTGGTCAACTTCTTGGTCTACTGTAGATAATTGTCTGACCATTAAATGTTCTCTCTCTTCAGTCTTCTTCTTTATTATCAAATCTGTCAGCATAGCTTGTAAATATTCATCATAAAGAAGTTCTAATTTTCTTGATGCAGTATCCATCTTCTTTTGCGCATCCAATGATACATGCGATGGCATGATTGAGTGCCTATTTACAGTAATCTTTTTTTTCAGTGGTTCTACAAAGAATAATATAGCATGTAATATTATATTAACATAGTAAAATAAAACATTGTCAGTAAAATATAGGATTAAAGTTCTTACTTTGTGTCTGCCTAATTTCATTCGGCATCATAGTTGTTCTATTACGAGAAGTAGTTGCATTTGTGGCCATATCGAGTAACACACTACTCGATAAATCTTTTCTTACAACTTCTGGTACATCTGAATTTTGACCTCTAAACAAAAGCATGCAACTCAAATATAAATTTCTGATTATATTCTGTAATTAACTTAAATTTCATAATAAGATAATATATTTACCTTCGAATACGTGCTAATCTTGAAATATTTTTCGGCTCTTCCTGCATTTTTTTACTGTTGTACCGAACTCTTGATTTAAATACTATAATAATAAATATATGAAAGCAACAATAGAGACGTTTCTCGGAGTAGAAGCAAACTACGATGCTTTCAGAAAAAATTATAGGTAACTACGGGCGGTATTCATAGTCCGTTCTTATATTTAAAATCGTCTTAAGCACGGACTTATATTCGCTCTCTTCGTCACACATAGATTGTGTCTGACGAAGAGAGCGAATATAAGTTCGTTCTTAAGACGATCTTGAATATAAGAACGGACTATGAATACCGCCCTACGAGAGCATCCTAGGATATGCCATTTTATAAATCGTGACATAAGTGAGCGAGATAACAAAGAGAACAACAAATTAATTCTATCTCTTTTTTTCACAATGATAATTATGGTACATATATAGTTTAGAAATTATAGAATTATGTTTTTTTAATATTAACTAGCGCAAAATTTGAATTCAATTTTAGTTGTGTATTTCTTATAGAAATAAATTTTGTAGATAAGAAGTTTTCGAAGAACAAACCGACAATGCGATTAAAAGGAACAAACTTCTAATATATATATTGGTACACATCAAACACGCGCCATCCACACATCCATATTCGATCATCTGGCCATCTATCTGATTTTGGCACATTCTCTGTAACGACATACACATTGCACATGATACACATAAGTGCCGCGAACCTGACTTAGCATTTTGCAGTTACTCAATTCTTATATTAGTTCGATATTTTACAAGTGTAATATATTTATACATTGCAACTACGTGCACAAAAAATAAATATGCCTCAATATACAAGTATGTATTTAATTATCATAATATCTAACCTAAAAAATGCACTATCAAATACTATGTATATGTATATAGTATGTGTATATATACATATTTTTTTAAATCTTGTTTAATATATCATACTTTATGGATTATTAATATATTTCAGTCAAAGTTAAATGGGGAAAGGAACTCTTTTCCAATGTAGAAGTCAATACTGAGGAAGAACCAATCTTATTTAAAGCACAACTTTTTGCTTTGACTGGAGTTCAACCTGAGAGACAAAAGGTTATGCTCAAAGGAATGACACTTAAAGATGATGATTGGGGCAACCTGAAACTGAAAGATGTAACGATATATAAATAAATGCTTTATTTCTTAGTATACAATATTTAAAAGATTTATAATTAATTATTGATTGCACTAGGGTGTTACGGTACTTATGATGGGTTCTAAAGAAGATGTGCCTACAGAACCAATGGAAAAACCAATATTTTTGGAAGACATGAACGAAACTGAATTGGCCACAGCTTTAGATCTACCAACTGGTTTACTTAATCTTGGCAACACATGTTATTTAAATGCAACTGTGCAATGTTTAAAAACTGTACCAGAATTACGAGATGCTTTGAAGATTTTCCCAGGTGGTTGGGCTGCAGCTGCAAGTTTAGCATTACCAGCACAAAGTATAACAGCAGCTTTAAGGGACTTATATGATAATATGGACAAGGGAACATCTAGAGCACCTCTAGTTTTGCTCCAAATGTTGCATTTAGCTTTTCCAAGATTTGCTGAAAAAACTGAACTAGGTGTACTTCAGCAACAAGATGCAAATGAATGTTGGACAGAATTGATCAGAATGTTGCAACAAAAGTTACCTACAAAGGTTATTAAATTTGTAATATTAATTATTTATGTATATTGCTTTTGTATTAGATACATATAAAATCACTAAAAGCATTGTATCTATAATAGAATAATCCAGATGTGTCGGAAGATGATGCTGAAGCCTCCAAACCACGATCGTTCATTGAACAATACTTTGGAGGTATATTTGATTATGAATTAAAGTGTGTTGAATTCGAGGACGAACCAGCTACTACTGGAAAAGAAGAATTCTTACAACTGAGTTGTTTTATTTCAACTGATGTTAAGTATATGCATTTTGGACTTAGAAACAAAATGCAAGAGCAAATTACAAAAATGTCATCAACACTTGGAAGGAACGCCGTTTACACAAAAACGGTAAATTTTTAAATATGTAATTAATTACACACACGCACACACACACACACATCTTGAGACATGAAAGATTTAATTATATGTACTTTTTTCAGTCAAAAATTAGCAGATTGCCAGCATATTTAACCATACAATTTGTCCGATTTTTTTACAAAGAAAAAGAAGCAATTAATGCAAAAATATTAAAAGATGTTAAATTTCCCTTGGAATTTGATGCTTTTGAATTATGTAGTTCTGAACTTCAAAACAAGCTCACACCAATGCGTGAGAAGTTCAAAGAATATGAAGATAGTTTGCTAGAAGAATCTTCCAGTGCAAAGAATAAGGACAAAGAAGAGAAAGCAGGAAAAAAGATGAAACAAGAACCATTTTGGTTTAATAATGGTAAAGAAAAATTATTTGATGCAGTTATCTATATTCTACAAAATTAATGCATTGAAATTTGCATATATGATTACAGATTTGGGATCGAATAATAGCGGCTATTATAAATTGCAAGCAGTTTTGACTCATAGAGGACGTTCCAGTAGTAGTGGTCATTATGTTGCTTGGATTCGGCAAAGAGGTGATACGTGGATGAAATGTGACGACGATGTTGTCACACCCGTTACTAGTGATGAAGTTTTAAAACTCAGTGGAGGCGGTGATTGGCATTGTGCGTATGTTCTTTTGTATGGCCCAAGAATTTTGGAAGTGGAAGATTCGGAGAACAATCCGGCTGATACAAATAATATTGAAGCATAACTTTTAAATAATTACTTTAAAAAAAAACGAATACACTTGGCAAGAGATTGCTTGTGTTGCTAGTTCTATAAACATCCATTTGTTTTTATATCAATTAATATGACTGTGTTATTAAGACATCATTGTTATTATCAATGCGCCATAATGTTATCGTGCATAGTATTTGTAATTTGAATAACAATTCTAACGTGTAAAAATAACTTATTGTTCATAGCAATTTTTTTTTTTTTTTTTTTTTTTTTTTTTTTTTTTATAATTTGGATTAATAAGAACCAAAAATAAGTAAAGATTGAGTTAGAATCGATTTCTAGTTTCCATTGTTCATAGTGTCATAAAGAGAGAATGTCGATCAACAAAAGTTACACATGTAGGATGTCATTGTGTACATAATTAAAGTAAACAAACAATAAAAAATAAATATTATTGTCTGTCTATTGAAATTATGTATTAATATAGCGTTAAGTTATTTTATGTTTAAAATATGAGCAAAAGATGTTACAGAATAAAAAGCAACTGATTTTAATGAAAATAATGTAATAAGATAGGGCGGTATTCATAGTCCGTTCTTATATTTAAAATCGTCTTAAGCACGGACTTATATTCGCTCTCTTCGTCACACATAGATTGTGTCTGACGAAGAGAGCGAATATAAGTTCGTTCTTAAGACGATCTTGAATATAAGAACGGACTATGAATACCGCCCATAGTGTTTTTTTGCAATTTCAATAAAATTATTCCATATTCCAAAGCTAGCTTTGATTTATCAAGTCTAAATTATCATACATTTACGTTTGTAATCACATTTATGTTTATTTTATCAAATGTAGGATATTTATAAATTTAATAAAATATAATCCTAAATTGAATAATAATAGTTATTTATTAAATAGTAGAAAAAAATGTATAAACATGTACGTACGCATACACTCATAGATTTAAGAGGATGCTGGAGTGCCTGACGAACTCCGACGCGAAAGCGCCATCATTTCGATGGAACTAAAAATTAGAGTGATATTATCGGCATAAGTCATAATCTAAGTATGAATGTATTGTGTATGCGTATGTGTGGTGCGTGTATATATTCGCATATTATTGTATAGCGCTTCTCTGATATTATCTTGGAACTAATCTTCTGTTATTTTTTCATCTGTTATACCGATATTGGACGCACACGTATGTAAAAATAGTCGGACAAGAATATTTTTTACATTAGACTTTTCAGCCCAATTTTAATGGTTCCATAACATTCTATTCTGCAGTCCGCAATTCGGGCTGCTCTTATTCAGCGTCTTAAAACTGTTAAACTTTTATAAAAAACGAAAATAGATAGCTCTATACAATATGTTATCCTAAGAGCAGAACAGAAATTAATGAATAGAAACAAATTTTGTTATTAATTCTTTTTTTTCCAAATAAAGTCGAGCAGCCCGAATTCCGTTTTTGTGTACACTTTACTCCTGCAAAAGGATTTACAATTCTATGCAACCAATAAAAAGATATTCTTGTTCGAAAAAATATAATGTCCGGCCGGTAACTCCAGCATCCCCTTAAATTAGTGCAATTTCTTACTATTCGTCACTTGACCCATTTTAGTTCTCTGCTAAGATGACCAAAGATAGGTGACGCTGAAACCAGCCCCTACTTTTTGAAGAGAGTATTTGCACTTCCTGAATTGGATTAAGTGATTATGTGCTATCATATAAGTATAATTTTCACTTATCAATATTGTGCCTATCCAGTTTGATATTTTAATTATGAAGTTTGATATATGAGTTATTTATTTATACAATCATGGAGAAAGAAAGGTGTGTAGAATATTAATATATTTTGAAAAGCTGTTGCAGAGAGAGAGAGAGAGAGAGAAACTTTTTCCCTCAATTTGATTAAATTTGTAAAATTGGTGCTTTTGCTGCAGAAATCTATTTAATGAAGATTGAAGGAGGAGAAAAAATGAAAAAAAGTGTTAGATCTTATTAAATTAAAAATATTGTTTTAAGTATTATTTATAGGTTAGTTTTTTGTAAATAAATTATTGAATGTAAGCAGAAAAATGTTTTAATTCTGCACAATGTAAATGTATTCGGTTTAATTGTATTGTTTTATATATTTGTATTATTTTTATGTATATTATAACATATATATCGTAGTTTACAATTGGAAAAAATCCTAACCTTTAAATGCTATGACATGTCAATAATTCTTAGTATAATATATTTTGTTTCTATATTCAAATAAAGTTTTTTTATACAAAAAATATAAATTTTGCAAATTTTAATCAATTGATATATTTTTCCTGGTCGATTAAAGTATTGCAGTAGATTTAATTATTCAATGAAATGGTTATAGATTTACAATGCTTCTTTTGGAGCCAGGAGAAATATTTTTTGAAGATTATAGTGGTCAGATGAGCAAGTTAGATGGTTCATCTTGTGAAGCTAAAGTATGGATGGATGGAAGATTAAAATTATGCTCAAAATCTTTGGTATTTGTAAATAAAGATATTAATCAACCACTAATCAAGATTCAATTTAAAGAAATTACATCTATTGAGCAATGTGTATCAAGCAACAATATAGCAAAGTAAGTTTATATATATATTTGAATATATTCAGAAATGCAGAAAATAAGGAAAGATATGTAAAATTTAAAGGGAGATATTATAAAAATTGAAAACAGCTTAGTCTTTATCTAACTGTCTTTGTATTTTGATAATATTATTATTGTGTATTTATTTACATTTGTTTCAGTAATATGATGTCAGTGGATTGTAAACAACATGTGGAAATGCTAGAGAAAAATATTTTAGCACCATACAAATTTATACATCATAATTGTATTTTACACTTTTGTTTTAATTATGCAAAAATAGAAAATTGTCTTCCACAAATTTTGCAATTGCATAGAGCAGCGAGTTTAGTAACTGCGGAACAAAATGCTATGGTAATATACTTTTCAAAACGTTTTTATAGAGTGCAGAGAATTACATTAAAAATTACGCTAATTACATTTTTTATTTTAAAGATTATGGCTATTGTACACTCTAGACAATCTCGCGTGTCTTTTGACACGTCATGGCTCGAAGATTTGTATGAGCAAGTGGTCTTAGAGACGCAAGCGAACAAAGTATTGCCACTTGTAATAAATCCGGGCAGAGTGTTACTGACCACCTCAAGAATTTATTTTCAGCCATACAATAATATGGATCAGGTAATTATCACTTATATTAATATAATTTCCATGAACATAATTGCTGTAAAGAAAATTTTTATTGAAGTTTTATATGATGGAGAAGAAAAATTTGGAATTTTATTTTGAATTTTTATTATTCATAACACCTGTTGATTTTCAGCATCCTGTCCTTAAGATTCAACTGAAAGATATACGAAATATTATAAAGAGGAGATTTCTATTGCGACAAGTGGTAAATATATTTTGTAACTGAATGCTTTATTATAATATACTATATTTTAATGAAATATTAATTATAAAAAAGTTATATAATTTACTTACAGGGTCTTGAAATTAAATGGACACGACAAATGGATAATAAAGTCGAACATTTTTTTCTGTCATTTCAAAATCAAGATGACAGAGACAAATTATATGAAAATTTACTTCAACAATCAGTGGTTTCTTTGGAAGTTATACCACAAAATCAAATGACAATGAGATGGCAAAATGGATATTTATCAAATTACGATTACATTTTATATGTAAACAGGTGATTTACCCTGAACTTAGGAATTAATTATTAATTATATTTTACGAAAAAATTACATAAAACAATGCATCTAATCTGTATTACATTGTTTCAGTTTGGCAGACAGAACATTTCACGATTTAACACAGTACCCAGTATTGCCTTGGATTATACAAGATTATACTTCCACTACATTAGATTTAAAGGATACCAATGTTTATAGAGATCTTTCAAAACCTATTGGCGCATTAAATCCTATTCGTCTGGAAAGGTTAAAAGTATGTATATTATATGTATAAAATATAGAAAAGTACAAAAACCATTAATATTGTGGAAAATATGCAATTTAGAAAAAATGTATTTTTTGATAATTACTTTAATATTATTATATATAAAATAATGAGAGGAAGCAATATTGTAAAAAAACAAATTATTTTAGAAAATTTTATTGCATTTTGTAAAATTGCGAATACAAAAGCTAATATAACTGAAAAACGATCTGTATAAAAGTTTTTTATTTTCTGACATGGACTTCAAATTTGTAATATTTTTTAAAATTAATTTTTTATGTTACTGTTTTGTATTAGCATTTTTTGCGAAATATATTGAATGTTAATAATTTTGTTTCATATTTTCCATTTTGTTGCAGGAACGATATTCAGAAATGTCTGATCCAAAGTTTTTATATGGTTCTCATTACAGTGCACCAGGTTTTGTACTGTTCTACTTAGTACGCAAATATCCTCAGTACATGCTCTGTCTACAAAACGGAAGGTTTGATCACCCAGACAGAATGTTCAACAGGTATGACATATTTTTTTTTAAATCTTTTTGATACTTTTTTTTTGTTTTCTAACAACGATAATGTAACAGCAATGCATGAAACGGAAAAATTTTTCATTCCTAAAAAACTAGAAAAATGGATTACGTATTTATTTCGTAAGAAAAGGCAAAAATAATATAAGAAATGCTTCAAATATCATAAAAGTGCATAATTACTCTGTCAAATGTGCAGAAACGATTTTATGTTTCACTTTTACCAACAAAAACACCTAACAGTATAGCCGACGTGTGGAAGAATGTTTTGGCGAACATGTCTGACTTTAAAGAACTAATACCGGAGTTTTATGATACGAGCAATAGTGGTGACTTTCTAGTGAACAGTTACGGTATCGACTTTGGTTATCGACACGATGGCACCAAGATAGGTGATGTGCAACTTCCTCCTTGGGCGAAAGGTGATATTTCACGTTCATTTATATTTGTTATCAATATTATATAACACAAAAATATGAATATTTAATATCAGATGTAAATCAATATTTAATTGGTGTATGCTTTAGATCCATCTGATTTTGTACAACAATTAAAAAATGCCCTAGAGAGCGATTATGTTTCTCAAAATCTTCATCATTGGATCGATTTAATTTTTGGATATAAACAAAGAGGAATTGAAGCTGAAAAAGCTGACAACGGTAAAAATTCGATTCTTTTGTATACATTTTTACAATACGTACAGCACGAAAGTAAATAAAATTAAAACTAAGACATAATTGAAATATACAAATTAGGACTGCTTCTACATCATGTACATATTTTTGTTCTTATTGCAGTATTTTTCCATTTGTGCTACGAAGGAGCAGTAGACTTGGACACTATACGAGATATAAACGACAGACATGGGCTTGAGGTGCAAATTATGGAATTTGGTCAAATACCAAAGCAAGTTTTCACCCTGCCTCACCCGAATCGTTTGACATCAGCTCCAAATCTATTGCACAGCGAAACATTATTGACATCGCTGGAAACAACGACTTCAGGTGTAGTGTCTTATATTCTTTCTTTCCAGCTACACACACGCACGCGCGCATGTCTTTACACAAGCGCAATATGACGTAGACTAAATAATGTTTTTAATTTTCCAGGCAATGCATGTGTAAAAGAAAGATCACTTAATTTCACAGAGTTAGTAGTGTTTCAAGCGCACAAAGACTGCGTCAGCAGTATTGTACGAAAAAATATGAGAACGAGTAATGAAATCATATCAGTAGGACAGGATGGAATGCTTAAATTGTATAATATAAGCGAGAGAAAATTGACACGTAGCGTTACCTTATCCTCGTTGTCGCTATCGTCTTGTATATCGTATTATACACCGTCGGAACGTAATATTCTTGTAGCAGGATCATGGGACAATACCTTGTAAATATGACAGTAATCAAATTCTGTGCACAATTACAATAGAGATGTAAAAATATTTTTATCTCTTAAATATTATCTCTGATTTTTCGTGACTCTGACATGCATATAAATTTGGAAAATAAATTCGCGCGTATTTTATTTCGTATATAATATGAAACAGATACAGTTAAGTGTATTTCTAAATTGTAACGATATGATTCTTTACAGGATATTTTATGATATTGAATTTGGCAGAGTAATCGATGTTTTGCAAGGGCATGAAGATGCGGTGTCGTGTTTAGCGTGGAACGCTACATATCAAGTCATTATATCTGGATCGTGGGATTGCACTGCAAAAGTTTGGCACGGATACACTTCCGGGTCAAAAATTAAACCTACAGACTGCTTTATCGCGCAATTAGATCATGATTCCAAAGTAACTTGCATTAATATATCGAGGTAAGTCATCGTAGGTCGTAATAGATATAAATAATTGTATATAATTGTGACGAAATATAATTTTAAGATTAACTTCTATTAATAATATGTGAATTATAGTGATGACACTATGTTGGTATCCGGTACAGAAGATGGCGAATTATGTTTGTGGAATATGGATGGTTACAATTTACAATCCACCATCAAAGGCAAGTATTTTCTTTCACATGATCATCGGTAAAATTTAAAATAATTACAAAAAAAGTGCTTATCATGTCAAATTGCCAAAGATGGTTATGCTAGGCAGTTTTAATGTACATAATCTTTTCTCGTTTATTATTCATCAGGCTAGAATTATATCAGCTGTTAATTTGTTTCTATAATTTTGGTATCTATAAACGAAAAACGTTCCTTCAATCATACTTATATTGAAAATGAATACTTAATGCACGGAACAAATATTATTTTTAATTCTTACAGGCCATGCATGTGGGATAAATGCAATAACGTTCGATAAACAGTGCAGCAGTGTGATATCATGTGCAGAAGACAAAATATTAAGTATAATCGACATTCGAACGAGCACACAGATATATTCTGTTAGTTTAGAGAGTGTACCATTGACATTAACGTGGATGGGAACGTTCCTACTGATAGGCGACATTGATGGAAATCTTAACATATGGAATCATCAGGGAGCTATGTTTGTTTCGCAAATACATTGCCACGATGGTAAATTGTGCTATTACGATAATATTTATCTAGAAATTTACTGTACGATAGTTATAGATATTATGTTTGATTAATTTCTTTTATTAAGTTATTTGTTTTTTTTTATAAAACAAAAATAAATTTATTGTTAATTATGCTGTACATTTTTTTTTCAGGGCCACTTTGTGCGTTAGCTGTGTCCGCTGATGCTAACTTGATAATAACAGGCGGGAAAGACAGAAAAGTTATCGTGTGGGAATGCCGCAGTTAATGAGACAGTATTATTAATGATCACGGTTAGCATATGAAGGAAATTTTATGGAAAAAGATATACAGGGCTATCATTTTTCTAGTAACAATATTTTATTACTTGTGTGTTATATATATATATATATATATATATATATATATATATATATATATATATATATATATATATATATATATATATATATATATATATAATAAGTATATATATATATATAT